CACATGCAAGCGGAGGTCAATTATAGTGTTCTAGTTTACATATTATCATTAATGATAAGGTTAATTCAAAGAGCTAATTAAACTGGTAAACACGGGAATAAAACTTATGGTGTGTTCTGCACATGCGTATATCTAGGATAAAATCCCACAAGCGAAAACGAAACGATTTCTCTATAAAGTTGAGCTGAAAGGACTCACAGTGACCGTTTTGGCAGTGCTTCAGGCGCCCGATGATATTGTATGAGGCGCCTTTAGCACTGTCAACTTCTCATCTTGAGATGTTCACGTTATCGCGTGTACTTGCCAGGATGACGAAGGATTGCGAATAATGTCTGTGTGCACTGATATACGCTGCATTATTTTTAATAATGCTGTGTACACGCTGCATTATTTTTAATAATGCTGTGTGCACGCTGCATTATTTTTAATAATGCTGTGTACACGCTGCATTATTTTTAATAATGCTGTGTGCTATTTTAGCCCGTATAAAACATTTACCCCTGGGAATTTCCCTACAATCAAAAAAGACCGCGCCCGTTTTTCAGAAGAACGCTAAAACTTCTCGACATTCGTTGATATAATGCAGAGAGAAAGCAATAGGTTATTATGACCGTCAGTAATTATAGTCCTATATTTCTCCCTTCCATATACTGGTGCTCACTCTCTTCAAATTCGCACCCAAATCTCCCGTCTTTGTTCCTCAGCCTTTCCTCATCTTAATATTAGATTCGTTTTTTGTCCAACTTTACGTTTGTCCCAACTCTTTACCTTTAAGGACAGAATTCCTAAGGCTTTAAGATCTTGTGTTGTGTATTCTTTCACGTGTCGTTGCTGTTCCGCAACGTATTTGGGACAAACGGTCCGTCACTTGCACACACGAGTATCTGAACACTTGGGTGTTTCTCCTCTAAGAGGCATTAAAAGCAGCAATCCGACCATGTCTAGTATCTTTTCCCATCTTGATAGCACTGGTCACTCCGCTTCTATTAATGACTTTAAGATTATTTCTTGTTGCTCTTCTCCAGACGAACTCCTCATTCGAGAAAGTTTTCTCATTAACAAACTCACTGACCCTCTCACTCAACTTACAAGGCAGTTCGGTCCCTCTACTTCTACTCTAATCCACTCCTCTTTCTACTTTTGTAATATAGTATCTTGTAAATAGTTGTAATTTATTCATATTTCTGTGTTTTCCGCTTTGTATGTCATTGCTCTGAAGATGTCTTAAGTTAAAGACGAAACGTTAGCTTTCTAATAAATATTTTAAACTATGTTTTTGTTATGGCTCTTTTACGTATTTTCTGCTGGGCATTAATATTTATCTTAAGATTACGATTCCCGCCTGGTTCATTTATCGCAAGTTCTTTTATAGAATTTTACAGAAACCTTTCTTAGAGTCACGCCATGTTCAATAATCTACGCATGCGCCAACTAATGTCAACTACGCATGCGCCAACTAATGTCAACTACGCATGCGCCCATTTTAACCGATAAATTAGCATAAATTATCTCGGAAGTTCGTACAATGGTCTCAAATTTTCAATAACATTTGCGAACAATATGCCACAGTCAGGCGGTGAAACTCGGAAGCAGTATCTTGCCCTGGATAACACCACAAATCCGGAATTTGATGAACTTGCGTTTCAAAACCCTGCTTAAAGCTAAGGAAACCAATTATCCAGAACAAAGGGTAACCTACCGCGAATTAAGAAATAAAGTAACACTGCAAGTTATAGATTGTCTAAAAGTAATTATTATATGGAATTATTTGCATGATGAGGTTAAGGATTATAAAGCATATTGGAGATTGGTAAAGAAAGCTACTAACAATGAACTACCTCAGCCAATAATGGGTATAAGAGGACCTGATGGGAAAATAGAAGCAGCTAGCGGATGGGAAGAAAGCCAAGATATTAAATGAATATTTTTCAATCATTGGTGGGGGTAGGGGGGAGGGGGCGAAATTCCTGGGACACCGGCCGTGCGTTGGGAACAAGAAAATAAAGAACATCGTTTAAGTGCGAGAAATACTAAAGTGGAAAAGTAAGCCTTGTTAGATCATGTAATTGCAAATGATCACCGTGTTGCGTGGGATGACACAAGGGTCATATGTACAGAGAGCAAGTGGTCAAAGAGAAAATGGAAGGAGGCATGGATGATTGAGCAGCAGAACAATGTCATTGCTAATAGAGGCAATGGTAGAACCTTGCCTGAGGTTTACAAAATGTTGATAGACAATGATGATTAGAATTTTAATAAAAGATGCTGTAAAGTCCGTTCTGCGCAGGCCTACATTCCAATGTTCGGGATCCGATCATTGGAATGTTATATTTCGCACCTTCCGAACTTTCTCGAATCTCTAGTCTGTATTAATTTACAATTTACAAGAATTGATAATCTAGTCTGTATTAATTTACAAGCATAGCGAACCAGAAGAGTGTTCCCCAGTGTAAAAAACTCAGTATAATATACATCTAATCAAATTTTACAACTGTAGCACTGAGTTGAAATGTAAACAAAGCGTTTGTTTACATTACGGATCGGACATTGCAGCATCTTTATGCCTGTTATAGTGTATTATAATATAGTATTTGTAAATTCTGAACGCTGATTGGCTAAGAGCCGTGTTGATATAACTCCATGTCAACACGGGAAATTTTCCGCCGCTTGTAAACACGGAACTTTTTCTTATTCTTCGGGCTTTTGACATTGCTATATTATAAAACAAATATAAAACATTTCTTCCGTATTGATTTTCCCAATTTCCACTCGTGTTGATATAACTGTATATCAACACGGAAAATGTTTTATATTTGTTAATTCATAGCTGTTATATCTATTTAATTTTATTGTTACGTTTTTGCATACAAACAGTATTTAAAGACCATGTCAAGTCCGTTCTGCGCATTAGTTCTGTTCATAACAAAGGGGGAACCACATGCAGATATAAACATTTCCAAAATACTAGAAAAGTGTTAGATATTCAGTTAGTATGTTTTATTTTACAAATATAGCAGTTAAAAATATAAACAAAAGATTTGTTTACATCACGGACTTGACATGGTCTTTAAGCCAGTGACTATTCGTCATTGATTTATCCTGATGATGGGCGATTAGTCCGAAAGGAGGGTACCTGAATATCGAGTCAGGATTCGAGCCAGGATTCGAGCCACGTCGCCATATTAACTTCTTCCAATCACTCGATTACAAAACAAATCATCCCAAAACAAAGAATTCATAGTCGACTTTTGAAAGAATAACCGTTAATTTGTAAATTGTTGAATGGAAAGCAAAAAATCGTCAGCTTAAACAGCTTCTTGCTAACTTTCTGCTTTGTTTTGAATGTAAATGCATGAGCTTTGTTTCTGCCCGCGATTTTTTGGTCAGCGACGACAAATTTCCCACCTGTTTGCTAGTAGTAGAACATTTAGCTAGCCTGCGTAACGTGTCTTATGAAACAAAACCATTGGGTAATGGGAATTCCCCGTATTTTCGCATTTTTTTGATCGAGTCCTGGCTCGAGTCCTGACTCGAACAATAATATATCTCGTCCGAAAGCTCGATTTCAGTTTAACGTTTTCAACTAAAACGTTTCTTATCAGAGTAACTAAATTTGTCTCACCAGCGGAGCTATAGTGTGACTATATAGTGGCCAAAACGGGACGGTTATCTAACAAGGAGTTGAAAAGTTGGGGCTTTGCTCGCTTGGAAAAACGAGTAAAGTCTAGAATTCAATAAGCGAATGAATTGGATGAAGTCCTTTCTTTCCTCACCATGCCTTCCATTACGTAAACAGCCCGTTAAATAGGTAGGACATTAAAGAGCAATTTGAATATGAACCACCTTGCACAAAGTTGAAGGTCAGCTAAATATTCTAATTCCACTTCCTTGGCATGCATGGGCGGTTTTATAAGAATACCTTCAATGCTTATATCAATTTCTTGCTTTTGTATGTACAATTATAATACTGTCAGTGGCGAAGCTAGCCGTAGCAACAGTTCATGCTATGCAAGTTTTGAATGACTTGCATTATTCGAATAGATACAATTAAGTTTGTTAGCATAGCATGACCAGTTGCCATGCTGAAAGCACATTAATTGCTATAGGCCGTTAGCTGTGGCATGAAAACGTTCAGTTCCGTCGCCCCCATCGCGGTGCTAAAATATTTTAACGGGAATTAGGAGATTAAACTATGCTGATTTTAAATATCTTTGTTCCCACGCGCCAAAACCCGCTGTTTTTTCGCAATGTAAGGCCAAAGTTTGATATTTTCATCCGCTAACCGCCATCTTGAATTCCGCGGTATGTTTGATCTTTCAACATTATTACTTGAAGTATTGAAAGTAACGTGGGCTCATAAACAACTCAAATTCATAAATATGGATGAAGTACCTAGCATAACGCTTTCTGCGCGGCAATGTTTTATACATTTTGAAGGTAAATTTGGCGAATTGTGTCATTTAACACATCATACAAATTAATACAACTTCTAAAATCTTAAAATATTATGAAAATTGGGTTGATTTCAATGATTTAGATGAGAAAAAGAGACTCAACTCGCGACAAATGTTTCGTAGCGTGTCAAACATTGGTCACTTATATTTTATATTAGACTACAGTGTACAATTTGTAGCGGATTATTTTGCCACTGACATGAATAACTGTTCAAAACTTTGTATTAGATAAATTATAATAAGAATTTGTACAATCACCTTTGTACAATTAAATTTGTAATTTTGTAAATTTTCACCAATTTGTACAATTAAATACACATAAATTGTAGGTTGCTTATTTCTCAATGGCCTGGTGATGGTTCTTCCTTTATACTTCCTCACCACGCTAGTTCACCACTCGCACACAGTGAATGAGAAATCTTTATTATATATTCTTATTAAGTCATCCTTGTAACACTGCTGGACAAGACACAGACATATCAGTGGTTTTACCCCCTATGACGAAAACACCATTCACCAAACGGCAATATTTTATTCATTTTGAAGGTAAATCTGGCGATTTGTGTAAGTTAACACCTCATACAATTGCTAAAATTAGTGAATATTGCAAAAAGTGGATTGATTTGGATGGCGAACAAAGCACGATCGCAGCAAATATTGCCGAACAAATAAAACGTTGGTCATTCCATTCGGAAACGGAGCTAGTGCGAGATGAAATTGCTACGGAAATTGCAAACTTGCGATATCACAAAGAGTGCTATGTTCGTTTTTGTGATAAAACAAAAATCGAAAGAGCCGAGAAAAGAATAATCAAGAAAAAGGCAATGACTGTCGATGCATCCACCAAAGGTGAACCGAGCACTCCTGTTGCTAACCGCCCGGCACCTGTGCATGTACGTATATCACCACGAACATTGATTAGCGGTAGCGAGGGAATTACCAGAAGAAACAGGCACGTCCTACCA